CTTTTCGATCCGACTTTGCAGGTCTTCTTCAGGGAGGTGTGTTCAGCTAGGAGTTTCACCTAGAACTCAACTCAAATTGAGTTGATTTTTTTTTTTTTATGGTTTTTATCTTTTATTATGTTACTCATTTTTAGTACAAATGGAATATTCTACTTCTAATATATAAAGAGTGAATTAGCAAACAAATGTTCGTCCCCAAATTCCATAAACAATCCTAATTTGTTAATTAACTTCTTATAAATTAGCTTTTAAATAAAAAAAAACAAAAGGTCAAATAATAATATCGTAAATTATAAATTAGACAAAATAATAATAATATATACATTTATTTCTGCCGTATTTTATTTAATTCATTCAGTCAACTATTGGACAGCTTAATTAAACAGACTATTAAACAAATTAATTAAACAGACTCACATATTTTAATAGAGACAATTTCATTTTATTTCAATATTAAAAATAACATTTAAACAAATTCTCAGACCTTTAATGTAAATGCTGATTTTAATAGATGCAGATTACTGGCAAATTTAATCGAATATCTTGACAAAGTTGGTTATTTTTAATCAATCCCAATGAGAGCTGAGCAACTTATTTAATAAAAAATAATAAACAAATATTTTTTTCTTAAATTCAATATTTAATCATTTATTTTTTTATCAGGTAGTCGGTCAACTCTTATTCGATACTATCGAGATCCAAGATTTTATTTAAATATCATTAATAATATTGATATTTAAAAAAAAAAACTTTAATTAAGATATTTAATTTGAATTTTAAAAAATAAATCTTGCATATAGCTGCCTAAAATGATTAAATAAAAATTGTTGAATAGGAATCTTTAATTTTTCGACCGACACCTTAAGTCAATATCAAAAACTAAGTAATTACTTTTTTAATATATTCTAAACAATAACAACAAATTTTTTTTATATGACAATTTAAAAATAAATAGAATATACAACGTTCACATTCTCTTATTAATTACTTTTTGTTGTTTTCATGATGTAAAAAGTATTACTTGCAGTACTTCAATGAGCAAAGTATAATTTGAAATGTCAAAAAAAAAAAAGATATCCAACCTAAATTTTTAATTTAATAATTCTAGGAAACTAGAAAAAAAATTGCTTTTTCTTCTCTATTGATATTATAATTATTAACGATACACTAAAATACTTTTTTTTCAGTGAAATATATATTGTTTGTTTCAGTATTACTTTTTAATGTTAAAATTATCGTTTCGGCTTTTCACTAATTTCCACATTTTACACACTAGAGTTAAATAATAAACCTACCTATGTTTTTTGAAGCGTTTTGAATATTACCGGGCCAGTAAAGAGATACATCGAAAAATGATACATTTAATACATGGCAAAGAAACTTTTTAATTTATAAATAATAAAATAATTTATAAATTGTTAATAGGAATCAGTACATTAATATTCAGTTAATAATTTACCCATTCATATCATAATAAAACCTAAAGTCAAAGTATACTACGTTAATTACAAATTAAATATTCTTAAAAAAAAAAAAGATGGACGGAGTCATAAAAAAAGAATAATAATTATAAAAAATATGACAATTTAAGATACGAATTTAATAGATCCGAATTCAAATAATATACTTTTATCATTTCAATATTATTTATAGGTTTAATACTAGTGTTAAAGTATGGACTCTTGAGTTATTATTTATTACACCCAAATGTTTAAAATAGAAAAATCAACCTAGGAATAAGTTGATACATCAAGAATTCCTGTAACAAAAAAGTTAGACGCGAAATATCGAATAAGAATATCGAAGCTCATTTGTGAAATAAGTATTTGTCATATTTTGAATCATTTCATCAAACTCAGACATTTTTTTTTTTTAATTAAACATTGATTTTGGATTGTGATTTATTTCGAAGTAAGAAATTTTAACAAAAAAATGTTCTCATTTGATATGCATTAATATAAAATAAAACTTAATTTTCATGTTACTCAAAACTTGGGAATATTGCCGTGTTAAATACATAAGGCAATTTTATTTTAGTTCTTTTCGAAAACTGAAAGATTAAGATATAATAATTAATATATATGTTTTAAACATTGTTATTAATAATAACAATGTAATACAAATGATGAAAATATAAACAGTGATATTATTTCTCAATTTAAATCAAAGTAAACTTTAGAAATTTTAATAGCGTTTAAATATCCACGTTGAAAAAAGAAAACTTACATTTCTATAAGTTTAGATTTTTTCATGAACACTTTTCTTTAAAGTATGTATTATAAAATGGAAAAAAAAATAGATTTTAATTTTAATTTGAAATACTAAAATTTAAAGGAAGAACAATATCTTACATAGTATTTAACTACTGCAGTATTTGCCCGACTTAATTATTTAAAATTAAGTCCCGTATGGATTACGGTTTGTAGATTATTTATTTATTTTACCTTGTGAAGGAAATATAAATGTTAAAAATACAAAAATAATTTTTAAAAATAAATAATAAAAACTGATGAACTGGACTGATATTGACGAATGAATAAATATATACATATTACAATTCAGCTACTCGTTATAAATACTAGTTTCTAGATGGACAAAAAAAAATGTATCATGTTACTTATCTATTGAAAAATAATAAAAATAAACCATAGATTTGGCTTAATAAATAATTTAAATTTATATTCAGAGTTTATCTGGTAAATTGCAATATTAAATTCGCGACGGTTCTTAAAAATAATTTTATATTAAATATTAATTATACATCACCGATTGACTAATTAAAAAAATATCCTATATGGGACTTATAAGTATTAAATTTAATTAAAAATAACTAAAAAGTATTTGTAAAGTGAGAACATTTATGAAATTCTACTTAATAGAAGATCTAGTGGAATCAAATAGGTTAAATATAACTATTTATGTATCAATGAATTTTTATAACTAATAATAAAAAATACGATGAAATAAATGTTAGTTAATTGTTTACCTAAGCGGTTTCATTAACGGTTAATCAACAAGTAAAATTATGAATAAACCATTTTACTAAATATCCCACTATTACCAAAGAGCAACGCAGGAAATGCTGTTTTCTCAGCGGAAACAAATTATGTTTTTTCGCACCCTAACCTCGAAAATAAATGAGCTTTATGTAATTGAAAAACAAATCACGTACCATAATTTTTATTATAAAATACGTTATTATATTATTACAAGATTAATAAAATGCATTAAACAATACCACTTAAAAAATCACTTAATGTTAAATAAAATTAATGATGTTGGTATAAACTCTAAAATAGTTAATTTTTTTATTGATTGTTTTTAATTTAAAAGTGGTTGTAAAATTCAAAATTGTGCGTATAAAATAAATGAAAACTGGCATTTTTTTTTTAAATATCCGTTTTTGACAGAAATATAATGGCAGATATCATTTATTTGCCACCTACGCTTGAATAAAAAATAAAATATTTTATTAACATTTGGACATAATAAAAAAAATAAACCAAGCTCTGCCTGTATGGCCGTTGTGGTTATCAAAAATCAATATTTATAATTGTTTGATTGTGGGATAACTATAGGCGAGTAATGATAGACGAAGAACTCTGATAATAAGAAAAGTTAAATCGAGAGAAGTCGGGAGTTGACACAAGACCGGAATACATTTGTATACTCAGCTGTGCTTGCTACATCGTCTGGCTGATATGTTTTCCTGGCGTCAGTCTTCGTTTAAGCCAGGAGAGAATACTTATGTTTCATTTTTAATAATCGCGATGAACAGAAATAAGAAAAAACAAGGCGTTTATCTATAACTTAACTAATGTCCGTTTTTGTTTTGGTTTGTCAGTATCATTCGGATCATATAAACACAAAATTCATGCAGATCACTAAAGAGGAGCGTGTGAGGGTGTAAAATTTATTAGGGTCTGAAAGACGAGATCAGATAAGGAGGGGCGAAGAAGAAAAAAAATATAAATAAGAAAAAAAAATGTGTTAAGGAAGAGAAATAAACGAAAAAACTACAACAAAAAAGATGTCTATGAGGTGTGAAGAAGACGAAATGGTTGAGCATGCTGAATATGTTAAGACCTGATGACTTACCATGTTAACCTAAGCCTCCAAGATGTAAACAGGGGTATAAACCCAACCCCCTTCCCTCTGCTAACTTCTCCATGCCGTCGTAGTTGTCAACATCACAAATGCATATGTTTTTAAATATTAATTTGATTTTTTTCATTTCTTCCTGTCAGGAATTTTAGATCAATAATACTATTTTAGATAAAATTAATTTGAAAAATCATATTTTATATTTTTAAATGTATGACGCTAAAAACGTAATAAAGATCTCATTATTTAATTCAAATCACCAACCAAGTTTTTAATTTAAATTTATAAGCAAAAACTTTACTGATGTAAGTTGAAACTTTATTTATCAATTTAATAATTAATAAAAAAAATTTATTCGGACTTTTAAAACATTAATCTCGATATTAATATTTACATATCACTTTAATCACTTAAGGTTTTAAGGTTATTTATAAATTTATGTTTATTGAAAATATTAGATAGTATATATTCATTCTTAAATCTTGAGTTTACGAAAAGTTTTAGTTATATTTTTGTTTGTTTGAATTCTCAAAGCGGCTACAAATACTACCAACCGTTTGTTAATTTTGCAAACTGACCAGAGTATATTCTTAATTATAAAATATTACACATAAAAATAGCACTGTTGATAGTTAATCTGTTATGATAAATAACAAAAATATGAGCAAACTATTGTTAACATTTATAGCCGATGATATTTCTTGAGCATGTTCTGTGTTGGTATTAATTTGATGAGATATGTGGCACATGCTCAAAGAGAAGTAGATAATAAAATTAAAGGCGGGGCATTTGTGAGGGAAATGACAGAGCCAGAGGAGAGAGGTATTTTCTACCTAACCAACCATTAAAGTCCCTCTCCCAGGCTCTCGTGTCGGACAGAAATGAAAACACAAAAATATAGATGATATAAACTTATTTATATTATATTTATATATTCACATAATTATAGCCATTGACTATATGACACTCACTGTACATAAAATAGCATAGGAAATTTGATTTGTACAATTTGAAAAAAATATAACAAGTGAAGTTTCCTGCGCTACTGTACACTATACAGAATGACGTTTAGAATAAATACAAGACACAGCGGGAACAACACTCCCGTCTTCGGTAAAAATTTATAAATTACAATTTCTCATAATTAAAAAAAAAATATTACAATATCAACATCGCTTGTCTTTGGACAATGTCGTATACTTTCGGTACATACATCAACAATGGTTCAATCCGACACATAGGCCCGATTTTTTCTACATAAAATTTAAACGTCATAAACTTGAAAAATATAATTTTGTTCATTTACGTATACTATTACAATAATTAGATAAAATTTACGTAAGAAACATACTTAGATGAAAATCCTTATGGAACGAATTTTAAAACGTGCCTGTTATATTGTATACAGGTTGTCTTTTTTTTTTTTTTTTTTTCTTTTTTTGGTATTTTAGAAAACAATAATAAATGTCTTGCCAAACGTTGTGATCACTAAATTTGTACTCAATGAAAGCTTGTGCTCATTCGAAACTAATAACGCAATACGGGCATACATGTCCACAACGGGCAAGAGTGAAAAAACATAATATGGCCTACTGATTATAACATAGAGATTTATACATATATACTATCAATTACTTACGCGACATTATTTACAGAGAAACACCTAGTATCCTTTGAGCACACGCATGGACTCTGGCAAGGCCAAATCACTATATCAAACCACTAAAAAGTCACTATGATGCTAATCTCTTTCCAAAGCAAAAATAATAAATGAATAAAAAGATATTTACCAACTCGAGACGGGCATAGTAGAGTCTTTAGTGGTTTGTTACAGTCGGATGACTAGGCCGGAGGTGAGAGGCTTATAATATCTATGTACAAATGGAATGGAGGCCGCTTGCTAGCAGATTGGCACTGGGATCACAATGTGTATTCGTATGGCTGCTGGAAGCGGCAGTCCTGCCCCTAGATGTGGGACAACGGCATCGGGTCTGGGCTGCCCGTCTGGTATCCTCCGGGGAGGTGGAGCCGCTGCTGGTTTTCCACCGAGTTGGGGTCCGTCGGCAGGTACATCGAGATCATTTGCCTCAGGTCCCCGGTGTTTGGCGTTCCGGAGTACTCCCTCTTCACTCCGGCCTGCTGAGGGGTTGGGGTGTGGATGCCCTGAGAGGACGGCGATACCGGCTCCGATTTGATGCTGCTGCCGCCGGGGCTGCTCTGCTGCATCGAAGAGTGGTAAGGCGAGCCGGCTCCAGGGGTGCCACCGTACATTCCGTAACCTGTGCCGTTCATGTAAGCTGAACCGGGGTGCATCTGAGACATGTCGTACCTCGGGTAGGAGCTGGTCATGTGGCTGGAATAGGCGGTATGTTGTTGGTACGCAGACGGATCGTAGGGGTAGCCGTTCGGCATGTATCCATTGGGCATATTGTACATATCCCTAGATACCACTTGCTGTACTCCCGTGTTGCCAGATTGGCCTCGCTGTTCGACGGAGTTATTGGGGAGAAGACTGCTGGCTGTGAGGGGATATTTGTCCTTCTTCAGTAACGTTTTCGTCTTTCTCCTCGGCCTGTACTTGTAGTCCGGATGCTCTTTCATGTGTACCGCCCTCAACCTCTTAGCTTCATCAATGAACGGCCGCTTCTCGGTTTCACTCAACAGTTTCCACTCGGCACCTAACCTTTTTGAAATCTCTGAATTGTGCATTTTGGGGTTCTCTTGGGCCATCTTCCTCCTCTGCCCCCGCGACCACACCATGAAAGCGTTCATCGGTCTCTTAACCCTATCCATATTATTATTCTTACTTGTGTTGTTGTTATTGTTGGGCTGCTGGTGGTGCGGGTGCTGCTGCGGTTGCTGGGGCTGTACCAGCTGATGATGTTGTACCTGAGGTGCCGGCGGAGGTCCGCTCATGACACCACCGTGGACGAGCGAGCCGAGGCTGCCGTACGAGGGCACCGGGTGGCCGTGATGGTGAGGGGCCATCAGACCCCCCTTCAGGTCCGTCTCCATGGTGAGCATATCGTCTTCCCTGTGAGCGTACAGCTTGGCTGTCGTACAGTACTAACTAACACAACACTTAAAAACTCCCGCGACTGCAAAACACTCACTTACGATGATATGCGTGTGCGCCTGAGCACGGCTCGTGATACACTGACTAGCTCACCGACGGCCGGCGGCTACACCAAACCTTGCCCCCACTCCCTATTGCTGGGGGCAGTTATTGATTGACATGGGCCTGCCATGTTTGCCGGCAGCCAATCAGAGAGTCCCCTCTGGCCTGACGTCACAGCGCCCCGCCCTCGCCGGGCATCCCCACCACTCCCCACCACGGCCGCCTTCCCCTACTCCTCAGGTAAAACGAATTCCTCAACTTGTTGACTAACAACTATTTCCAACTTACTTATTATAAGCACTCCAGCATTTAGTAGCCTTTATAGTAACACACGGGCAAAGGTCATGACCCGCTACAACTTGAGAAGACTGACCGCATTTATATGCTCGGCCCATTCATGACTATTGACTGACTCCTATAACGGAGGACAATTGGACGGACGACCCTCTCATAACATCTTGTCAACAACAGAGTTCCATTTCCATGTGACCATAGTTATAATTCGCTGTACAGGATCAGTTTTTTACTTTACACAAATATTTGTCAAATCATGATGCCTTTTCGTTGCTAGATGTAGTCATTAAAAGTAAATGAAATCTAAATATCTCGGTATGTATAAATACTTTTTTATTTTAAATAAAGCAATATTATATCGCTATCAATAAACAACTATACCTATATTATAATTCATCTTAATATTAAAGAAAACTAACTGATCTTCAATAATTCAAGCCTTAAATAATAATAACAAAAATATTTATTTATTATTTATTTATCTTGAAATACTTCACCTTGTTGGTATCAGATATTCGTCAATAAACACAAGTAATTTGGACAGTTTCACGAGTAACGAATTAAAATAATTTAGCTCATAAATTACCTGATATTATATCAGAAATATAATTTTTTTCAAATATTTTTCTATTATTTAACATATAATTGAATATAGTTTTAATTGGCAAAAGCCTAATTCAATCATTTATGTACTTTGAAAACTTCATATTGATAAATGTGATATAATATAATTAAATATGAAAAAACATATAGCGTAAAAACAACATAGAATTCCTGATGAAATACCTTGATTTTATTTTTTTTTTTATTTTTTTTTTTATTATTTTTTTTTTTTTATTATTTTTTTTTTCTTGATTTTATTATAAATAACAACATAATATATTTGATGTAAAACAATCATTAAATTGGGAGTAAACATTACAAATAATCAAATCTACATACTAAAGGCGACGTGAGGTAAAAAAAAAAATTATTGCCACAAAAAGGCGATTATAATTTTTTTTCTCTCGAAATTATTATCAAGAAACCTGCTGCTGTCAATCACTTTTTCAGACAATTTCGGTTTATATTTTTGCCACTTGATTTTAAATGTTTTCATTGTTGAAATGGAGAATACCCCCATGCCATTAATACCACATATATCAAAACATATACCAATGAGTCCGTAAATTAACACAAGTATGTAAGATCCTGCCCTTGGTTTCGTAATAAAAACACAAAGAACAAAAATATCTTCAATAGGAAGGTCAAAAATAAATATGATGATGATAACGAGAAAAAAGTAGTAAAAAAAAAAAGATATATTTAAACCGAATTCGTCATTACTTTAGTAAAGACAGACATAACTAACATAGAGATATGACCTTATAAAAAATTAACATCCTTTCGCTGTTTGACAGCTTTTCAAATTAAGGAAACAAGAATCATTATTGTTGTTCCACTCACAAAAAAAAAAACGTAAATAAAGTATTAAAAAAAAAAATTGCATCGTTAACAATGGTGTATTTGTTTATTTAGTATTTTTTAATTATGTAAGAGCATGTCATTGATTGGTGACAAGAAGTCATTCAGTAACAGTTTATAAAATAAAACAACTTAGCAATTTGACTCTGTAAAAGTAGGACATTGTATATTGAAAGTTAGTATTTTTCAAAAATAATAGGCTCATTTGTGTTATGTTGATGCACTTCATGGATTTATGCATTGATTAATGCAATCGAAGTTTGCAAACACGTACGAATTTAGATCTAACAAAAGACTTCATGCCATAAAATAACAATATGAACAATTGGTAAAAAATCTTTGGAAATAGCCTCTTAATTACTTGATTTTGTAATTTAAAAATTGGAACAATTATTAAAAGAAATCATTGCAATGTTATGTATTAAAAAATGTGTTTTTTTTCGACAATTCACGAAACCTTGCCGTTTACAAAACTGAGGGATTAATATTTAGAGAATAGACTTCTTTATTATTATTTTTTTTTTGTCAATCTATGTAACGAGTCCGCAGAAACCGATTGATGTGCTGTTACCACTATTAAGTAATATACTACAGTAAAATAAGCTAATAAAAAAGTTTGTTTTATTATAATAGTTAATTTATAACTTAATTAATTTATAAAATAAACGAACTAGGCTGCAGTTCATCGGGAGTCTGTCTATATGGGACAAACCACTAATCTACTGATATAATACATAATGTGTAATTTATAATATATATATATTTTTTAGGTCGATTAGATGATTTTAGAGTTAGATTTAAAATAGATGGTTTAGAGTTATTTTGTGGCTACAAAATAATTAAGATCGCAGTAATCTTCGACATAAATTTTATTTTATACGACTTTTATAATACCTAATACACTATAATAATTTTAAAATTCGGTAAATAATTGGATGAATCATCTGTACATGTCATACATTTTATTATAAAAAGTTCAATATTGTTATATATTCATATTTTAACAAGGGTGTTTATTAATTTTTGATTATATATATATATATATTGTTTCTTAGAAATTCAAATGGATTTATGATTATGGCAGAAACGTCGTATTAAATAAAATTGATGGCGAAGAGCATTGTAGTCCAATTTATTTACTGATTAAATTACACTTTATCTCAAACGGTCTTATTACAGTTTATTTTGATGTTAAACCAGGGAATAATTTTAGACTTGACACTATGTCAAAAGAGATGGACAACCTGTAGATACAATCTTTTCCCCTTTGCTTTGGAAAAGCTTTGGAGACAACTAGCTCAAGTTCACCCCCTCGGGTCCATGCCAGTCATTACCAACGGTCTGGATAAGGGGTGGAAGGGGAAAAGAAACCCCCCTCCTCATCTATTTCTTAACCTTTAGCTTACAAGAGGTCCAAGGTTAAGAAACTTTTAACCAAATTTTTAGTTGTTTTATTTTACATCTTAGGGAACCATGGATTCGATCTAGATCTTCTCAATTTGGTTAAAAGTGTAGTATGGTTGAAAACCTCGTTCCTTCGTCCATCCTAAATTATTAGGAAGGAGTTAATAGAAAAAAAAGCTTTATTTTAATTAGTTAATCTAGGTTTTTATTTTTAATAATAGTCTATGTATATGTGTATGAGCATAGTATACAATTGTTTTTTAAATATATATATATTATATATAATATATATTATAATATATCATATATAATATATATTATTTCATATATATATATATATATATATTATTTCATATATATATATATATATATATATATATATATATATATATATATATAATTGTTTCCTTTTTTTTTTATTTCTTTTTTCTTTTTCTTTTTCTTTACTATTTCTTTCATTCATTTATTATCATCCTATACCCCTTTCTCTTCCTTCTCTCCCCTTATACATTTTTCCTACTCCTCACTTTCTCTCCTATCTCTTCCTAACCTAATTCATAAAATGCATAAAAATACATAAAGTACATAATTCAGATAATTATGGATCGTTTAATATCAAGCATTAATCGACAAAAGAAAAAGCGATATAATTACAACGACTACTCTGAGATTTTGAAAAAGAGAATCCTCTTCTAGTCCTATCTGCATTCACAACAACGCTAGTTAAAGTGCCATTGATTCATTCACGCCTAAGTTATGAGAAACGAGAACTCAGTGAGTAAGGCTCTGTATCCCTATGATTCAGCCACCAGCTCCGGTCTATCTGTAATTTTATTGCAACTATAAAATAATTTTTCAGTATTGTGCGATTCGTCAGTCATTCAAAACTTATTCCACCAACTATAACACAACCAAGTAAAATATTCATAGAATCTTTTTAATTTGTAATCGCCTTTTCCCTAGAAGGTCATTGGTAGTGACTTTTTCTACTCATTTTTTTATTTATTTATTTTTTATTTTATTGAGTATTAATACAGTCTGCCACACTGAATAGCATTCATTGTTCTAGGGCTATATATTTTCATTCGCACAATTTGTACATAAGAAGGAAAATAAATAAAAATAACCAAGTAAGAAGAGAAAGAAAAAAAAAAGATATATATAAATAAAAAGATAAAGTAAAATAACAGATTAAAGCCGAATGATAATAAAATAAATAAAACACATTCACACCTATGTACAATATTTCATTGGTCCAAGGGACTCTCAATCAAGCTTTGTCCCCGAAATGTGGAAGCCAAAGCAGGACTCCAGGAGATCTCAGTGCTTCTTTCCCAGCCGCGTAACTGGTAGCCCTGGAGCCAGGGCCCAAAAATCGACCTGATCGCAGGCGAAGATTTGATTGTAAATTACGAAAGTGTATGTTATTCTGAGTAAAAAAAACCTTGTCTGCCGTTCCGGAGCCGCTGCTTTAAAAAATGGCGGCTGATTTAATCGAAACAGGAAATCTATTGCGAAAAATGTGAGCAAAGTTTCTATTTTTTTAACTTGTATATATGGGTTTAGACATGTAAAAAACAAAATCGCTAACGCAGGCCACCAAGGGAAAACTTTTTACAGCCAAAAAAGTCAGATGTTTTCGATATTTTTTGGGTTTTTCATCTATAACTGCTAAACAATGCAACAAAGCGAAAAATGTATTCTTTAATAAATTAAAGAACGTTAAATTTTGCTTTAAAGGAGTACATAAACTTTAAAATTTGGTTTCGTGGTAAGGTATAAAACTACGGTCAACCAACGTTGAGTTTTATCAAATTTGTCAAAAACTGAGACAAATTACTATAAATGACCCTGCAACTTAGAAATGAATTTCCTAAGAAGAAAACCCCATAGAATCAAAGTTGTAGAGCATCAAATTTTGCGTTTACTGGGTACTGAAATTTTTATTGTTAACCAATTATATATCTCGAATCGGGATTCGTTATTCCTTTATAAAATTCGGTATCTTTCGGCACATCGTTTACCAAAATCTTTTGCTGTTGAGAGGTGGAAAAGAGGCTTATACTGTATGTAACAGACTTTAAACAAAACTAACTCAGAAGAATAGACACCCATACTGTTGAAATATTGATAATCACGTTTACCTTCATTACCAATTTCTAGCTATCCGGACATTACCGATTTCGTTCGCAGCAAGTGACCTACATTAAATTAGTTGATACTGAGTATACGCAAAATTTGATGCTCTACAACTTTGATTCTATGGGTTTTTCCTCTTAGGGAACTCATTTCCATGTTACAGGACCAAGTATAGTAATTTGTCCCAGTTTTTTGTAAATTTGGTAAACCTGAGAGTTGGTTGACCGTGGTTTTATACCTTATCGCGAATTTAACGTTCTTTAATTTATTAAAGATCATATTTTTCGCTTTGATGCATTGTTTAGCAGTTATAGATGAAAAACCCCAAAAATATCGAAAAAATCTGACTTTTTTGGCTGTAAAAAGTTTTCCCTTGCTGGCCTGCGTTAGCAATTTTGTTTTTTACATGTCTAAACCTATATATACAATTTAAAAACTTTCCTTACATTTTTCGCAATGGATTTCCTGTTTTGATCCTCAAATTATTGCCCTAATATTCTCTAAATACCAATTTGCTTTTTACTCCAATCGTAAAACGCCCCAATTCCGAGATTTTTCGTTAGTAAAATATTTTTAGGTTACGATGAGATGAAGCTATTAACAAAGTTTTAGGCGGATGTTAACAATTTGATAAGAAAAGATGAGTACCATGGACTGAGTGGAAAGTAAATGAACATTAAAACTTTTTAACAAAGGAAAAATATTTATTTTTCACTTAGCGGCCATCAACGCCTACTGTTTCCTTCAAAAAGATTCTTTCTCGTTATATAGACTAAATGAATAAAATAAAAATGAATATAAAATAAGGATAAAAAGCGGAATTAAATGAAATAAAAATGATAGGTTCTTTGAAGATAATACGGAAGAGGGACTATTAATTCAAAAAGCAGACAATGTGTTGAAAATCCGAATGAAATTTTATTACCATTAACAGCTAACGACAGATTTTAAATACAATTTTTTTTTTTTTTCTGAGTTTTGGTCTCGGAGTTCATCTCCCACCATAGAACCACGTGTGGGCACGAGTAGCAAATAATGGATCACTTCCATCCTATATAAATCTCGTTATTTTTTTCGGGCGTCACACTCAATTGAGTGAGTGCATTATTAATTACCATTTAAAGGACTAGTTCATAACCCGAAATGGCTATGTCAAAAATCCTTGTCGAATGCGGATCGTAAAAACATAAATTATATTAAAGAAGTATAGGATGGTTTTACACTCTTGAAATTAAGTACTTTATTTCCAAAGTGAGCTCTAATCATCATAGATGATTTTCAGGAAGTGCGAAAAACAATACTTTCTATTCCAGTCGTAATATCAAAACCAATATTTAAAAAAATAAATTCTATTGTTTTTATTTTTATTGTTATATATGGTATCATTGTTCCATACATCCCAAATACTCAATTCCCTTAATTGAGGCAAAATGTATTTATTTTTTCTAAATAAAAAGAATTATAATAGAAAAAAAATTAAAGAGGTCTTTATTTAATTACTATTCGAATAATAAGAATTACTATTCGAGTCCACTGGCTTTAGCACCTTCCTTCTATAGTTGGAGGGAGAAGTCTGGCTTGGGGTTCCCTGCCTGATTGTATACATATCGTATATGGGTATGACTGTGTTTTTATGTTTTTAATTTCCTTATCATTAGGTTATTTTATTTTTTATTGTACACATTTTTTTTATTATTATTTAGTTATTATTTTACTTTTGTTAATTTTATATTTTCTGTATTTATGGTTTTAATGTGTTCATATATCACTATCATTGTCACGAGACAGATTATTAAATGTCTAAATAAATAAATCAAAAAACTATTCGAGTAATTATTCGAATAGTAATATAACAATATTAAAATAAATAGAGCCCTTTTTGGAAAAAAAACAAATATGAATTGGGGTCTGATTAGTTCCGTTAAAAAACTTTTGAGGGATTATTTTTTTAAAGAATAATTACGAAAAATGCAAGTTCGTTATATTCCTTAGACTAAAAGGCCGGTTTCGGAAATATATTTATTTTCACACCACATTTTTAAATATTTAGACTCATTTTTGAAAAAAAAAATCGGATCATGGAATATATCGGGTATTTATACATGAGGTTCGATACCTCGATTTTCATAAAAATCATAGGTGATAAATATTAATGACGCAGTTTTAAAAAAAAAAAAAATACTTTTTTATTTATGCCAACGTTTCAATCCAAACAAGTTGGTCATATTCAGGGCTGGGTTTTTTTAAAAATACAATCAGAGATATAATATTATACGATCTATAAAGGTACCTTTTGCTATCTATTGCTATCTTTTGCTATCTGCTGTCCCCTGACCTTTTTACTTACCTACCAAGTACTTGAACACCCTCAGTGCTCAAACCACGGTCAGTGAGAGGAAATATTACAAATTTGTATAAATGGATTATATACATTAGTTTTTAACTTTTAGTTTGTATAAATATTTACATATTTCATTTTTAATTCGTGTATTGCAACATTAGTTAAGATTCATGTGCCATCAATCATTATAGTTTTTTATTTACCATTATCGATCGCATAATATATTATATCTCTGTTGTATTTTTAAAAAATGTCAGCCCTGAAGATGACCCACATGTTTGGGTTGAAACGTTGGCATAAAAAAAAAGTAAAATTAAAAAAAAAGACTGCGTCCTGAATATTTATCACCCATGATATGTATAACAATCGACTAACTTCCTTCAATAATTCATAAAAATCACAAGTGACTCAATCTTATCTCCTCAACCTCTATAATTCCATTTTAGATTATAGATGTATAGATATATTTAAATTAAAAAATAATACTATAACTGGTCCTTTTCTTTTGAAAATCATT